AGGACTTGCACCAGTATTTCAGGCAGTGACACAATGCCAGCCCTGTGAGAGTGCCAACTTTCAACAGCTGCTCGGGAATGTCACTTATGAACAGAATACAAATCATTGCCATATACATTATAAACCAGCCCTGCCTCTCACCTGAGACTCATATTTAGCTATTTCTGCATTATGAAATGACTTAGGCATTAAATCTCAGTTTGGGCCAGGGCAGTGGCTTAGTAGCATTTTGTATTAAAATTATTTATGGAAAATAAACAAAGGTGAAAACACTGATAATTTCCATTGTGTGAGCAAATAACAAGATACCGATATCTGGAAGATAATCCTGGATTGAAATGTGTGTCATAATTGTGGAAGGGCTGTGTCTATGAGAACATAGGGAGTAGAGCATTGAGTCTTTAGCTGGTGACTGCTTCCAGCTTGTTACTTCAATGCAGTTAACACTTTCCATTAAAGCATCTAATGCAAAGTTATTCTTTTTTATGTTTAAGAACCAAATACATGAATTCTTCAAGGATTCTGTGTTTGTCTTCAAATATAGTATATTTTATGGTATAAATTTGAATTTGAAATAGTTTTGAAGAAATAAAAGTAAAAAATAAACAAACTAAAAGCAGTCCTTTACAACTTCATAGTAAATATTTGATAGTAATAAAATATTTCTGGAGAAAGTAGCAATACTATAATCTCACTAGCTGTTATATCCCATCGATAGTGCATACATTTAAGAACAGAAGGCAACTCAAAATCTTTTCACTCTGCACCCTGTGCTTTGCAGGCCTCACACATCTGCACAGAGTTCTGCAACACTTACCTTTGACATTCTACAAGACCGCAACAATTCAGATGACATGTCCTGGACAGAATGTTTACCAGCAAGGGCTCCTCCACTAATGCACCTTTAAATTTCTTCCTGTTTACCTTTAAACCTTTGCCTTGATTCAGTCTCCTTGAATACACTCACCGTTTTTTAGAGCATAGATATCTCCTTTGCACTGCTCTGCTGTTCCCAAATAAATCTCATTACTCCTTGGAGATTCTGATTGTTGTGTTATTGCATATTGATGGAAGCTTTTCCAGATCTTCATTGATTCTCAAAAGTTTAACTACCGTGCTTGTTTATACAGCATTTGTGTTGGGTGTGAAACACCCAGCCCAGAAGATGTACGTAAGGAGCTCACAAAGGAAAACAATATGTGCATAATAGATATTTTTCCTTAAGGGTATCATGACAATTTTCCCAAAAACAACTAACATCTGTATCTATTTACTTCCAAAACTTTAAGACTTTATTTTTCCATATAAATGTTTTGATAGGTATTTTTATACTTTTGAGCTGTAAAACCAACTGATTTACATTCTGTCAGATTCATCAAAATTCTATTACTACTATCACAGCACTACGGGTGCATAATTACATTTGATCAGTACGTACTTTGCTGCCCAAATGTCCTGATAAGCAGCTCCAGTAAAAGGGGAATATTAGGAATGGATCGAACATGAAAGTTATTAATATAAATGTTGCAAATATTTTGATGTAGAGGTGATTTTAAGACAAAATCCTTCAAAATGTTTATATATTAGTTGATATTGGTCTTCTCTGTAAATTCCTGGAAATATCATTTAGTGTAATTCCTAAGAGAAAGCTGCATCATAGATTTAGGCACCACATCATTTTTATTTTTGAAATTCATTTCTATTTGAGGGGCACACATTGAATCTCAACAGGGTAAGCCATAGCTTGGGATGCCTACATCTCATATTGGAGCACCAGTCTAGATCCTACTAATTTCTTTCAGGTCCACCTTCCTGCTAATGAATCCTGAGAAGCAGCAGAATATGATTCAAGAGGTTGGGCCTTTGTCACCCATTTGAGACACTCAGATTCAGTTGTGGATTCCAGAATTCAGCCTAGGATAGTCTCAGCTGTTGCAAGCATTTAGGACAGATGGGAGACTAAATTAGTTAAATTAGATTAAATTGATTTTTGAGACACACACATGCAGAAAGATAGAGATATTCACCCTAGCATCATCTTGAGGACACTACAAAATTCATGGAATTAACAGATACATTAATTTTTGGTTTTAAATGCAGTATTTTCAAAATATGCATTTTTGTACACTTTTTGAAGACCTCTCATATTGTGGATTTCAAACATTTTTATACTGAAATAAACATGTACTAAATTCATTTTCCACAAATTTTGAAGTACCCTCATTCTCATGATATCAAGGGTTGAGAAAGGCAATTTATCTGAAGCCTTAACTTCTCCTAAAAATGCACAACCTTGTCCAATTCTTAAAAAAAAAAAAAAAAAAAAAACTTCACCCTGTTCCTAATATAGAAGACAGATATTTCGCCAAAGTACCTGATCAACTTCCTTCAACTTCCCAAGGCTATAAAAAATAAAAAATACACGAGAATCTGAGCAGGTATCACAGCCTACAGGAACCTATGCAGTGTGCAGGTGTTTGCTGCTGCAGTCAGGACACATTGGGAATTCCATATCCTGTATTCTTGGAGAGCCTGGTCTCCTCCCAGCTCTGTTTCTGATTCCATCTTCCTTCCAATGCACACTTTGAGGGGCAGCAATGATGGAGCAAGTTCTTGGGTCACTGTTATGTGTATGGGAGACTCAAGTTGAGTTCCAGGCTTGTAGCTTCAGCTTGGCCTGCTCTGGATATTCTCTGGATATTGCAGGCATTTGGGGAGTGATCCAGCTAAGTGGAAAATATTCTTTCTCTCTCTCTTTTTTCAAACAATAGAATCAACAAAATTTTTAAAATATAAACAAGGCTTTGAGTTCTGGCACTGAAAATTAAGGCAATTCTTTACTCAATGTGCCATTCTAGTGGTGCCTTATCCACAAGGACATTCTCTTCTTCCTTTGCCCAAATGTTGCCAATCTTCACCTTGTTTCTGTGATATTGTTTTAATGAATTACTTCTCAGAAGGGTTGGACAAATTACATATACATGCTCAGTAGCAATGCATAGGAGAGTCTATGATTCTGAGGTATGCCAACAGTATTTTCAAATTATTTTGTTTACTTAAGGGTAAAAGATATGTTTCGCTGTAGTTTTATTCTGTATTTCTCTGTCCATAATATGGGTGCTTTTAGCTCATGTTTTCTTAATAGGCACGATCCCTATCAGCCACCTTGTGAGGAAAGAAACCTGTCTGACCAAAGGCATCTGTGTGAGACTCCAGGTGTTCAGTGACCATTAAAGAATAAATTAGTACAATGACCACCATAATTAGATATTAGCTTTTCCCATGCCCATAAGGCTCCTTCATATCTCTCATGGTCAGTACCACAAGAAAGGGCACTCATGCTTCTATCTGCAGCACCAGGTTCTGCCTGTGAATGAGAATCACATTGTACACACCCAGGAGGATCATGTGGACTTGCACAAAGAAAGCACTGATATAAGGAGAGGAACTCAAAATTTGTTAGCAGAAATTCTAAGGTAAAATAGACAGGCAGCATGGACTGGGAAAATCATACACAGAAAATGAAGATTTGACCTGGACTCAAGGTGTAAAACAGCCACAGCATATTTTGGATGGCTGACATTTCTATTCCACTTTCAAAATTGTTCTTCTGGAAACAAAAGAGTCCTAGAGTTGTTTTCATGAGCTATTATTATGTCCCATCTCCTTTTTGTCTTCTGTAAAGAGGGGAATTTTGCCTTATCTTTCAAAGTAGGGACTGCAAGTTTCTCAGCATGTGCTATTACACCAAGATTTATTGACTGTACATCAGTGGATAGATTTTGATGACCTTATCCAAAGACATTTTCATGTGAGTAGTGAGAAGAGTGAGTGCCCAAGATGTGCAAACACTTGCAGGATCCTTTTCCCATGAACTTAGTTTCCTCTTCCTCACACTGTCCTCAGAAATCAATAGGATCCTCACTTCACAGGTGACAAAGTGGAGGAACTGAGGAGTTCCCCTGAAAAATGAGTAACAGGGGTTGTGACAACAGGGACATAGGGAATAGTCCCCTTATCTGATATACAGCTGTCAGAGGTTATCCTTAGGAGGCTGAATGCAGACAGAGGTGTGGTAGGAGGATTCCTATACCGAGACACCAAGGCCTCTTACAGGAAGTAGTCTTTCAATACACCAGCATAAGGCCCAGGTGGAATTTCTTATTCAAAATCCTGATCCCTGAACAAAGAAGGGTTTTCCCTTATGAATGGTTTTAGCCTCTTTGCCTCCCTTATAAGATTATCTGCATCCATTTGATTGGATATTCTAATGTTACATGGAACCCACCAGATTCATGCAATACTGCACATGCATGCCAGGTAGTTAACTGAAATTTTTGTTTTATACACGTACTGAGCTGTAAGCTGTCTGGCAAGGGTTAACATCATTGCTCTGTACTAAGGAGCAGAGATGGTTACATATAAGCAGATGAGGACTGCAGTTGAAGCCTTCATAGGTAAGCAGATAACAACTACATTTCAATCCCAGGACAGATGTCTCCCTTTTTCTTCTTCTAACCTTGAGAAGGCTTCTACCATGACTTTAATCCTCTCAGAAACAAGCTTAAGCAAAAGACAAAGGCCTCTGCTGCATTCCTCCTTTGAAACTCAGAACCCTTTTGGGTCAGACAGCATCATCCTTATCTGAGGACTTAGGTTTTTACAGAATTATGACATGTGTAGCTGCTTTGTTTTGTTTGTTTTTGACCAGAGTCTTTATGAAGCTAGAGACAGTTTCATAAACAAGGGCACAAGACAAGGAAAAGTCAGACAAGCCCCCGACACTATAATCACAGCACCTATTAGAGATTTGTGTCCACTAAAAGTTTTAAAAAAATCCTCCAAACAAGTCTTTAGAGTTTTAAACTTTCTAGGTCTCAATCAGATTATGAGTGACCTTTTTTATTTGATCAGTAATTTTTTATGATCTTGTCCTCATTATCTATTTGTATTCAACAATTGCTTAGATAAAAATTTAAAATATAATGAGGCAAAAAAGAAAGGATCAGCCCATTTATTGTATCATGTGGCAGATTCCTCAAGCTTTGGCCATGTGTAAATCAGTCAGCATCCGGGGTATCGGAGGCAAAGCTGTCGTCCTCTGGAGTTCCTCTGTAGTCACCGTCTCTGGTGATCTCTTCATGGCTGACTCGCTTGTTTCACATGCGCAGTTTGTAGGCTGTTGCTTTATTTGAGTTGCATTTCAGTTTCAGACCCCAGCTTCTCTCTGCTGTGGTGGATCCAGAGAGCTATCTCATCCATCTTGACGGTAGTGGAGGTGGATGAAGCAATAGTCTCTTGTTTTAGGTGTTTGCTTTATGTGTTTGAAGGCCCTTTAACAATAGAGGCCTTTTTCCTCCCCTTTGTAACTTTGTTAAGTCTGGAGGAAACAGATCTAACAAGCAAATTAAATGCAACAGGATCTAAAACAAGAAGATGGAATCATTATTAGAATATCTAGGAAATGTGTTACCTAAACCATGAGAGATTTTCTCACTGAGAGAGGCATGTAGGCCTGGCCAGGTTTATGTGAGGCTCAGACCTATCTGTTTATATGGGATATAGGAAGAAACATCATAAGGAAGATGCGAACCTCTTTAGGGAAGACACCTGTTGACTCTCATTACCTAGCCTGCCTGTGAGAAGAGCTGGCTTGAACAGGAGGTTAGTGTAGAACAGGCAGCATATCCAAGACGAAGATCACAGTCCTGTCTATACTGAACCTAGGCCTTCCCCTCTGCAGTGGTGGTTATCTTGGAAGCTGGGCAGAGTAAAGGGCTTTTTCAGCTTGGAGCCAGCATGGTCTCATTCTAATCTGAATCCCTTCAGCCCCAGGGAAGTTCCACTCAACCAACTCTTAACAGAATTTTTTAGAGGCTGGCTTTAGTCAGGATGCCTGTTTACCTGATTTCTTGGCTTTCCGTATGGAAACCTAATGATATTTGGGCTGGACTGCCTCCTAGGGTCTCTCTAATGGCAGAACATAGTGTAAAACAGCTATTAGTTGTCTCACTAGCTGTCTTTATATTTGCTCCACAAACTAATAAAAACATTTGTTACTAAGTTTTTATACATTGACATGCAACCTACACACATGTATGTATAACATACATTATAAGACTGAGACAGGGGCCGGCGCTATGGCTCACTTGGTTAATCCTCTGCCTGCAGCACTGGCATCCCATATGGATGCCAGGTTCTATTACCAGTTGCTCCTCTTCTGGTCCAGCTCTCTGCTGTGGGAAGGCAGTGGAGGTTGGCCCAAGTGCTTGGGCACCTGCACCTGCATGGGAGACCAGGAGGAAGCACCTGGCTCCTGGCTTCGGATTGGCACAGCGCTGGCCATGGTGGCCATTTGGGGAGTTAACCAATGGAAGGAAGATCTTTCTGTCTCTCTCTCTCTTACTGTCTAACTCTACCTGTTGAATAAAAAAAAGAAAAAGAAAAAGAATAAAAAAGACTGAAACAGAAAGCAATTTTAGTAACAGTTTTTTAACTGTTTTTAAAATTTTTTTTAAAAAGATTTGTTTATTTGAGAGGTAGGGTTACAGACAGAGAGAGGGAGAGACAGAGAAAGTTCTTCCATCCTCTGGTTCACTCTCTAATTGGCCACAATGACTGGGGCTGGGCTGGCCAGGAGCCAGGAGATTCTTCTGGGTCTCCCATATGGGTGCAGGGGCCCAAGCACTTGGGCCATCTTCTACTGCTTTCCCAGGCCATAGCAGAGAGCTGGATTGGAAGTAGAGCAGTCAGGGATCAAATCAGTGCCCATATGGGGTGCCGGCACCACAGGAGGAGGATCCAGATGCTATGCCACAGTGCCAGTCCCAGTTAACTGTTTTTAAAATTATCATTTATTGATTAGAATTATCTTTTGTTCCTAGTATCCTAAACTAACCATATCCTTTTAGTTGGCACCTGTAGTTTATTGTTAAACTTTAGTATTATCTGTTTATGGAGCTGTCCCAAAATACTGGATGTAACAGAAATCATGCAAAGATGTTCTTTGGGTCCTAGAAGAGGAAATATTTAAACACAGAATCAACAATATTTCAATTTTTATGAGCAGTCTTGTTTTCTTTTGGAGGCTTGAAACTTCTTAGTAAGAGAATGTAATTGAAACAAGGCACCTGTTTACTCTACATAGTATTTTAGAAGGCAATTGTAGGATTTTGTAAAACATTTATCTCTTTTAGGTCTTCAAGCCTTTTTATTAAGATAACCTTTATGACATAACAACACAACAAGAGCATTAGATTTTCTAACTGTGGACATTTGTTTCAGTACATTTTATATTAGCATGACTTAAAGTTTAGTACCATTGTGGCTGGCAGTGTGGCACAACGAGTAAAGCTGCTTCTTACAGTGCCAGCATCCCATATCAGCACCAGTTTGATACCCAGCTGCTCCACTTCCAATCTAGCTCTCTGCTATGGCCTTGGAAAGCAGTACAAGGTGGCCCAAGTGCTTGGGCCCCTGGACCCTCATGGGAGACCTGGAAGAAGCTCCTGGCTCCTGGCTTTGGATTGGCCCAGCTCTGGCCATTGCAGCCAATTGGGGAGTGAACCAGTGGATGCAAGACCTCTCTCTCTCTGCCTCTCTGTCTCTGTCTGTGTAACTCTGATTTAATGTTTAGTACCATTTTACATCTTGACAGTACTTTCAATAGGATCTAAAAAGGCTGATTAGTTGGTATCCATACTAGATGAGAAATATATCCTTTGACAGTTCCAAGGGGCCAACTGGAACTATCAGATTCCAAAGAAAAACTTTTGAGTTTTTGAATGTTAATGATGTCAAAGCTTAAATATCAGATTGAACCAGGATCACTTATCATCATGAATACAGATCAGATTTAATCACTGCTATAATCTTTAATTTTATATCACAGAAAAATAGATGGATAGCTTTTATATCCAAAAAATTCTATTTGTTTTATAAACTTTTATGACTTAAATACACCCATTGCAACTTACTTAAACCTTTTTTTCTCATTTTAGTCTAAAATAGCCATTAATTGTAAAAATTAGTCAAAGTAATTATTACAAGCCCTATTTTTTCTTTATTATTATTTTTAAAGTCTGTCTCTTAACCTATTTCACTAAGAAACTCATTTTTATCTTAGAGACTTTTTTTTCTGTCTGATTTTCTTGATTTACATTGAAATAATCCTTTAAAAATCTCAAAATAAAGATAACATTTTAATATAAAAGAGCATTCTGAATTACAACCTTACATCTAAGCAGTCTTTTATTATTTTATTTGTAGGCAGTTTATGAAAACTTATTTGTCAACAAATTCAAAATTTTTCATAAAATATTAAGTTTTAAGGGTATTTAAGTTTATATTTAGACACATTTATCTCATTTATGTTCATTCTATTTACATTTTGCAATTACACATAGATGACCTACAATGCTGATACTATATCATACACTGTATTAAAATTAGAATTACATTTATATGGAATTTCATTTTTTATTAAATGCCTCTAACTGGAAATCAGTGTTATCAACCTGAAATCTATTAAATGGTCATTTTTCATTTAGGAAAGACAGGCAGTGTTGCTGCAAAACACCACTTTTTATGGCCATATATTTTAGATTTATATTATCCAGTTACAGCTGAACCAAATTAGCACAAGAGTCATTATCCTGTCATTTTTATGTGTGAGATTATTATAACTCTTTAAATTTTAGATTGAGTTTGAGCCTAGTTTTTCACCTAACAAGCACCTTAGGCCAACACCTAGTCAACAGTCAGATACCTGGGATCTTCTCTGAAACAAACATGTGGTCAGGCAGTTACAAGACAGGTCCCAAGGGTGGCTTTGAGCCAAGGGTGGGTGTGCCACATAGGCGAGAAGCCTATTGGAGATGCTAACTTACATTTAGGAGACTTCAGTATCACTGCCCTAGGCTGCAACATAGGGGGCCTTCCTCCGCCATTCCCAGCAAAGAGGTGGTATTAACACACCACAAATTAAAAAGAAGAAAAAAAACCCTCTAGATTGACTTTCTCTCTTTTTTCCCCAAAAAAGTACAGCTAGAGAGGTGGAGAGTGGAGTGAGCCTTTTCACAAACAGCCACCTGAAGAAGGGAACACATCATAAAATGGAAACTGATGGATCCTAAGGGGGATTGTAATCATCTGCAAAGGGGCTGAAGGACTCTGCGATGACTGGGCAGAATGCAGATTACCTGGTCTCTGACAATGGACCACTGTTGCTCCTGATGTCCCTGCAGTTCTTGAGTTTTCCTCCTGAGATTGAGATTCACTTTTTTTTTTTATCTTTTATTTAATGAATATAAATTTCCAAAGTACGTCTCATGGGTTACAATGGCTTTCCCCCCCATACCGTCCCTCCCACCCACCACCCTCCCCTTTCCCACTCCCTCTCCCCTTCCATTCACATCAAGATTCATTTTCGATTATCTTAGTATACAGAAGATCAGCTTAGTATACCTTAAGTAAGGATTTCAACAGTTTGTTCCCACACAGAAACATAAAGTGAAAAATAATAGATGATTTTTTTAAATGATGATGAAATCAGATCAGACCTATTGTCATGTTTAATCCCAGTGAGAGTCAAGTTGGGAATTGATAGTTTCTTTTCTTTTTTTTTTTTTTTAACAGAAGATCAGTTTAGTGTACATTAAGTAAAGATTTCAACAGTTTGCACCCCCATATTCACTTTCGTCAGATGAAGAACAGTTTTTACTATGATTTCACATCATGTGCCCATGTGACCACTATCCTCACACATGTACACAATACATTCACACAGATCAAGTATCTTGATTCTAAAGACACAGTGGAATTTATGCTGTTGCTATACCATTTCCTTATCCAGAGTTTAAACCTGCAGGGTTCTGAGTTGATGCCATCCCCTTACCCGTTTTCACTATCTTCCTAGTTGATCCTACCTTGAATATCTTTTCTCATAAAGTCCTGTTCTTTTCCTGATATTGCCCTATTTCTCAAGAGTGGCAACAACTGGATTTATAGAATGACACAATCATGTGTTATGGATGTCACCTGTCTTACAGAGAACTGCCTTCCTAAGGACAATGGCAAAAATCACCACCCACAGCAACATTCAGCTGGTGTTAGGGATCAGCATGTGTTTAATAACCAACATCTTCTAGCAGTTAGTATAACTTCACTTGCTGTGTTTTTTCCTGATGTGAGTTCTTTCTCTCCGTGTGTCTTCAGATCATTTGTTTACATTTCTCTGTTAATCAGGCCTAAGCATTATTCAGAGTTAAACAGAATCCAACACTGATACCTGGAGCACTGGGTGTTCAGTCTATGAATCCACTTGGTTTCAGCATTTCTCCTTCACCAGTTTCAGATCCTCTGCTTTCTGACAGCTGCCTCTCCTCCAGCAGCTCCTGATGGTTCCTTGCCAGCTCTCTACAATGAAGTTAATGATGCTCTTCCAGTCTCCAAGATGCACAAATAAGTATCAAAAGCTTTATGATTGAAACAGCAAAGCAAGTTACAGAAATCAAAGCAAGAAAACTAAAAAAAGTCTGTTTTTAACTGAATTCACACCGGTTTTTGTAGAAACCCTTATAAAGTAATTGCAGGAGCCTAGTTTGAACAACACATGCTTCATATAATGTGCTGGTATCAGTGAATAGAGAAACAACTTACCCTTCCTTGACCACCTTTCTTTCTGTATAGTTTTATTTTTTTATTTGACAGGTAGAGTTACAGACAGAGAGAAAGGTCTTCCTTCTGTTGGTTCACCCCCCAAATGGCTGCTGATCCGAAGCCAGGAGCCAGGTGCTTCCTCCTGTTCTCCCATGTGGGTGCAGGGTCCAAGCACTTGGGCCATCCTCCACTGCCCTCCTGGGACACAGTAGAGAGCTGGACTGGAAGAGGAGCAATTGGGATTAGAACTCAATGCCCATATGGGATGCTGGCACTGCAGGCAGAGGATTAACCAAGTGAGCCATGGCACCAGCCCCTCTTTCTATATAATTTTCATAAAGAACAGTCACACTTGTCTCCACTAATTCCAATTCAGCTTCTTGTTTGGCTATCACAGAACTCAATATATTATATTTGTATTCTCGGTTTCTTTTTAGTTGTTGTAAAGAATAAAGCTATTATGTTTGTGTGTCAATTTGTAGCTAAACACTTGGTTAGGATAAGTAGAGGAGAAGGGTGAGGATCCTAGAGACAGAAAGCCATTCTGCTTCTCAGCAAAAACTCATGTTTTCCATAATGGGCTTTCTACCCTAAAAACAACATACCTTCTTCCAGTTTCCATACACTGCAGTTCAGGTTCTCTGCTTATCTTCCTCCACTTCATTTATATCTCAAATTATTAAGAGAAAGATGAGATGTTCAAGAAGTTATGGTTGTACAATATTGTGAATGTTTAAAATTGCTTTTTGTTAAAATGGTTGGTTAATTGTACTTTACGTATTTTCTACTAGACTACATATATTTTAAAAACTTGAAAGCGAAGTAATCTTTTTGGTTCTCTGATTTATGTCATCAAGAGCAGTAACTTTTGTGAGCTCCTCCCTCTTGATATTTAGCTGAGCTTTTTCTTCTAAACCTCCTTGCCTTCAGACTTCAAATTCACTCCCATGATATGTGAGTGACTAGTGTCAAACATTCACATTAATGACTTAATTCCCAGAAGAAAACTCCATGTATATATCACACAATTTTGACTTTCTACAATATAACATACTGTTCTGCTTCAAATCTAAAGCATACAATGGGAATCCTATAGTAAGTATAGGTAGTTTACATCTCAATGTCCTGATGTGTTCATTGAAAGCATGCCATTCATGTCTCTGAACATTTTTTCCCAATATCTGCACACAGGAAAGAAACAAAACATGACTACAATTTCCATAGAGACACTCAGTAATAAGCTGAAAAGATAAAAGGTCAATGAAACATATCCCTTGATACCTTTCTATCTGAGGGGAAAGAAGTTGATGCAGGTTAGGAATAGGAGAAATGTCAAGCATGTAAGAAATGAGGATCAACAATAAAAGAAACCACCTTGAGGCATGATCATTCAGTGTGTCTTCAATATTCCCACTTAGGATGTAAAGGGATAGATGGCTAAATGATGGGCAAAGTAACAAAGGCAGAAAATGGTCCAAGTCAAATGATTCAAGTGAACTTTCCCTAAAGGCATGAAAAACAAAGAAAATAAACTTAACATCTCAGTTCACATTGAGAAGTTCCTATTCTGTATTAGGAGAGGTTGGGACTGCTCTACTTGGCTTGATATCCTCTTCCTTACACACATATTTTCAGTTTATGTATGCAGGCTGGCATGCAGTGCTGAATGTTAAGATAATATATCATACTTCCTGGTTCAATGAATTTATAAATTCATTGTAGAATTAGTACAGCACTTGAGCAGCTTCAGCAAGAAAGTTCAAACTCCCACAATTTTACTGCCATGAGAGACTGTTCACCTCACTCCACCCAAGACATAAAAAGTGTCAAGAGCCAAATTATGACAAAATGTAACCTCCAATCACTTACCACATCCTGATGCTCTGCATGCTGATCTCTTTTATACTCATCTGACCATGAGTAATTTCAATGAGGTTATTTCCTATATCATCAGCATCTTCAAGCTTTTTTTCATCATCCTTTAAGAAAGCACATTGAATCACTGAGTCATTCTTTGGTTTTTACATCAGCTTCTAGGATTTATTGCATTTAAAAAAAAGATTTATTCATTTACTTGAAAGGCAGAGTTACAGAGAGGCAGAGGCAGAGAGAGAGAGAAAGGTGTACCAACCACTGGCTCACTCCTCAAATGGCTGCAATGGCCTGAGCTGTGCTGATCCAAAGCCAGGAGCCAGGATCCTCCTCTGGGTCTCCCATATGGGTGCAGGGGTCCTAGGATCTGGGCCATCTACTACTTTCTCTGGCCATAGCAGAGAGCTGGACCAGAAGAGGAGCAGCCGGGACATGAGCCAGCACCCACATGGAATGCCTGCACCACAGGCAATGCCCCTACCCACCATGCCACAGCACAGGCTCCTAATGTGTTAATAAAGGAATCTTGGTTTAAATTTCAGCTTTCCATCAAAGAGACTCCTTTTGTTTCTGAATTTTGATATTGTTTCTTTGATTCACTAATATTTATGTGTATGGAATAAAGGAACATAATTAAAAATATTAATTCAAATGTTGACCAAAATCTATCTTAAATTGTTTGACTCAAATATCAAATAAAAAGAACCTTATTTTATATTCAAGATTTTTCTTTGATAGATTATATAAAAAGAAACTTGATTGCAAGAAGCAATAGCAAAATAATCAAATTATGAGGTATAAATGATTCAGAGAGCAACAAAATAACATAAAAATCAAAAGGAGAATGATACTTTTTTCCAAAGACATTTTTACAGCTTCAGTATACTACATCATGACATTATTGATATTTTCAAAATTTTTCTGTAAGTTAACTAGAAGGAGATAAAAGCAATCTCTGATATTGAGGAACATTCAACAAAATCACATTATGCCAATATATTAGAAGCAACTGTACATTATCTGGCACTATGCACGTAAAATGTGTTTATGAAAAAGATTCTTTATTGCATAATGTTTTAAATCTAATAAAAAAGTATCCTATTTCAATGAAATTCCTGTTAAACTTCTACATTCTTGTGAAACTATCTTTGCCTAACTTCCCTGCTAGCAGTAGGAACTATTTCACATGGAAAATTCTATAATCTCAAATAATTTTATCTTCAACAGAAATGAAACACATAAAAATATCAAGCATCTAGTGTTATTGTTCTTTCTTCTATTACCAACACTAATAAATACATCTCTTCCAAAAACATCCTCATTCAATTAGGTTTGTCCAAATCCCAGCCACTATTTGGAATTCCATAAAAGAAATATTAAAATTTTCAGTTGCTTGGCTACTCCAAAAACTTGTGATGACTCCCTTCTTCAGAGGAACTACATTTCACAAGAAGCAGAGAAGAGGCTCTGGAGACACACTTTTGAGATCAAGCATGATTGAGTGCATTCCCTGACTTGCCTCTTAGCATCTAGGAGATCTGGTTTAACTCACAATTCATCTATGATGGGCCTTCTCATCCTTAATATGATTCCTTAATATGAGAATGCTATCACCTACCATAAACATGAACAATATGCTTAAAGCCTGCATCTTTCAGATGGGTCACACTTACCAACACCTCAGGCAGTCCAGTCAATTTCTCTGACACTCAATTCTCTCCTCTGACTCCAGAATGTATCCTGGTCTTCTATTTGTTCTCCCATTGCATGAACCTGTGTGGTGGGAAATAGCAACTTGACCTCTCTCCCCTCTTCCTCATCCCAATGAAAAAGCAAAACAACACTGAAAAGCACAGGTGAAGGTTACAACCCAAGGACACAAGCTCAGCAAGTAGCTGAGATCTAAACATAGGACTAAGGGTCACTTCAACCTCCCCACACCTTACTACTACCACAGAGCTGCTCCATGTTAAATGTGGCATTCAGCTGAGGCCTTTGTCTAAGGCACTGATGGGCTAAAGGATATCAAAGACATGCACTAAATAATGAGGAGACAAAAGCAAGGTCACTAGAGGAAACTTTATCCTCTGCTGCTTACTATTACTGTAAACTGTAAACACAGCCTGACTTCCAGTCAGTTAAAACTAAAAGCTCACATAAATGGCTTATTTATCAAATTTGCATTTCCCAGAACATTTAAAGATTAATCACTTTCAGAAAAAATGTCCAACCACAATATGACAACTTATAAAGAGTTCATGAATTTCATATATACTGCTTTATGAAAACAATTTTAAATACACAGCAGGTTTTGTATCTGGTGAACAAATTTCACGTATCTCATACATACAGTTTTATGAGTATAATGATACTTCCCTCCTATCTCTGTCTTTCACTCCCACCTCTCTCCTCCTTTATTTTCTTATTTAGCTTTTAATTGTTATAATAACATGCCTTCAAATTACTTTATAATCACAAGGGTAAACCTTCACTAAATGAAGAATTCAACAAGTATTAAGTAGAAAAACTACTGTTCCTCAACAGAATAGAGAAGAGTGATAAACACTCTTCAGAGGCCAGAGCTATGGCACAGTGAGTTAAGCCATAGCCTAAAGTGCCAGTATCCCATATGGGCACAGTTCCTAACAAGGATGCTCCACTAATGCTCCCGGAAAGCAGAAGAAGATGGCTCAAGTTCCTGCACCCAGCCTCCCATGTGAGTGACATGGAGGAAACTCCAGTCTCCTGACTTTGGCCTGATCCAACCCTGACCATTGTGGCCATTTGGGAGCAAACCAGCAGCACTTTCTGAAATGGATAAATCGATTAAATTAGCACATTCATCACCTCACACACTTGTCTATGATGAGAACATTTATGTCCTCACAGCAATTTTCAAGTATGCAACATTCTAAATCATAAATTTTCTTTTTTAAAATATTTAGTTTATTCAGTGGGGCTGGCTCAGTAGTGTAGCAGGTAAAGCCACCACCTGAAATACCAGCATCCCATTTGGGCACCAGTTCAAGTCCCAGCTGCTTCACTTCCAATACAGCTCTCTGCTATGATCTGGAAAAATCATAGAGGATGGCCCAAGTGGATGGAATTTTCTCTAGAATAGATCACATGCTAGGTCATAAAGCAAGTCTCAGCAGATTAAAAAAAAATCATACCTTGCATTTTCTCAGACCACAATAGAAGGAAGCTGGAAATCAACAACTGAAGAATAACTAGAACATATGCAAACACATTAAGACTGAACTACATAACAGTGGGTCATAGGGGAAATCAAAGGAGAACTCAAGAAAACTTCCGGAAACCAATGAAATCAATATTACATCCTATCACAACTTATGGGAAAGAGCAAAGACAGTGTTAAGAGGGAAGTGATTAGCAATGGCTGCCTACATCAAGAAATTTGAAAGGCACCAAATAAATGAGTTACTGATGCATCTCAGGGACCTTGAAAAACAACAAATCAAACACCAAATTCATAGGAGAAAAGATATAAAATAAATCAAATAAATACAAAATTGAAACAAAAAAACAAAAGTTCACAAAATGAAGAGATGCTTTTTCAAAAAAAAAAAAAATAAACAAAGTTGAAATGCTACTGGCCCAACTAACCAAAAAAAAAAAAAAAAGAAGCCCAAACTAATAAAACCAGAAATGAAAATGGAAATGTAACAACATATATCACAGAAATAAAAAGAATCATCAAGAATTACTACAAAGAGCTGTTTGGCAAAAAAAAAAAGGGGGGGGTGGGGAATTGTTGAAGAATAGATTCTTGGACAGATACAACCTACCCAAATTGAGTCATGAAAACATAGAAAACCTAAACAGATTAATAACCAAGAAGGAAATTCAGTGATTAAGACCCTCCCAACAAAGAAACCTCAGGTCAGATGGATTTACTGCTAAGTCAACCAAACATTTAAAGATCTAAATCCACTTAATCTATTCAAAATAACAGAATTGGAGGGGATCTTCCCAAACTCCATCTATGAAGCTAGCATCACCTTAATTCCAAAACAAGAAAAAAAGACACAGAATAAGAGAACTATAGACCAATTTCCTTAATGAACATTGATGCAAAAATCAATGAAATTATAGCCAATAGAACCTAACAACACATCAGAAAGATCGCTCAACCAGACCAAGAGGGATTTATTCCTATTATGCAGGGGTGATTAATCACTCACAAGTCAATAAATGTGATATATCACATTAGCAAATTGAAGGACCAAAACCATATGGTTACCTCAATTTCTACAGAGAAAGTATTTGATAAAATACAGCATCCTTTCATGATGAAAACCTTAAGCAAGTTGGGTAAATATGGAACATTCCTCAACACAATCAAAGTAATGTATTTTAAGCCTGTGGATAGCATTTTATTGAATGTGAAAATGTTGGAAGCATTTCCACTAAGATCCAGAACCAGAAAAAGATGCACAATCTCACCATTACTATCAATACACTCCTGGAAGTTTTAGACAGAGCCATTAGGGAAGAAAAAGAAATCCAAGGGGTGCAAATTGGGAAGGAAGAAATCAAACTGTCCCTGTTTACAGATATGATTCTGTATAGAGAGAATCCAAAAGACTTCACTAAGAGACTATTGGTACTCATGAAAGTGGTTTCATGTCAGAATATACAATTAATGCACACAAATCAATAGACTTTGTATACACAGAAAACACCATGGCTGAGAATGAAAATCTAATACCACTTCTTTTCAAAATAAGTACAAAAATACCTTGGAATACATATAACCAAGGATATAAAAATCTCTATGATGAAAATTATAAAACATTAAAGAAAGGAATAGAAGAAGATCCTTAAAAATGGAAAAAAAATCATCGTTGTTCATGGAATGGAAGAATCAGTATCATCAAAATGTCTATACTACCAAAAGCCATTCCTGTCAGATCTAGGACATTCTGCTCAGATCTAGAAAAAATGATGATGAAATTCACATGGAAACATAGGAGACCCCAAATAGCTAAAACAATTTCTACAACAAAAACAAAGCTGGAAGCATCACAATGTTAGATTTCAAGATATTCTATAGGGCAGTTATAATCAAAATAGCCTGGTACTGAGAAAGAACACCAGGTAGGTTGACCAAGGGAACAGATTACAAAACTCCAGAAATCAATCCATGCATCTATCCCCAACTTATCTTTGACAAAGTAACTAAAATCAATCCCTGGACCAATGACAGTATCCTCAAGAAATGGTTCTGTAAGAACTGCAAACTCCACATTCAGAAGTACGAAACAAGACCCCTACCTTACATCTTATGCAAAAGTCCACTCAAAATTGATCTTTGACCTAAATCTAAGACATGATGCCATCAAATTATTACAGAATATTTGGGATATCTTGCAAGACATTGGCCTAGGCAAAGACTTTTTGGAAAAGACCCCAGAAGCACAGTCAATCAAAGCCAAATTTGACAAATAGAATTACATCAAAGTGAGACACTCCTGAACTGCAAAACAAACAGTAAAGTGAACAGGCAACTGACAGAATGGGAGAAAATATTTATAAACCATGCAACTGATAAAAGATTAATATCCAGAATAAAGAGATCAAGAAACTCAACAACAACAAAACAAACAACCCAGCTAAGAAATGGGCAAAGGACGTGAATAGACTTTTTCAAAAGAGGAAATCTAAATGGCCACCAGATACATAAAATCAGCAATCAGGGAAATGCAAATCAAAACCACAATGAGGTTCCATTTCACCCCATTTAGGATGGGTTTCATACAGAAATCAACAAGCGACAAATGCTGGCGAGGATGTGGAGAAAAGGTACCCTTAACCACTGTTGGTGGGAATGTAAACTGGTCCAATCACTGACAAAGATAGTATGGAGATACTACAGAAATCTGAATATAGACCTATGATATGACCCAGCCATCCCTCTCCCAGGAATTTACCCAATGGAAATGAAATCAGCATATTAAAGAGGTATCTGTACCACCATGTTTACTGCTGCTCAATTCACAATAGCTAAGATATAGAATCAACACAAATGCCTATCAATCCAAGACTGGATAAAGACATTATGGTATAGGAACACCATGGAATACAACACAGAACTAAAAAAAAAAAAGAAATGAAATGAAAATTCTGTCAAATGCAACAAAATGGATGGAACTGAAAAACATTATACTTAGTGAAATAAGCAAATCCCAAAAGGACAAATACAATATGTTCTCCCTGATCTGTGGTAACTAATAGAATGCTTTAAAGGTAATCTATAGAAGTGAAATTGACACTTTGAGATATGGTGAGTTTGAAAAGCCCTTGTCTCAACTGTTGAGGAACAGTTTTTGTTCTTTTCATACTATTTGTTGAACTCTTCACTTAGTTTAGAGTTAATATTATGTGAATAAAGTTAATTGAAAATAGGTCTTAGCAAAAAATAAGAATGAGAAGAAGACAGAGGAAAATGATGGGTGGTACTGTGGGTGGGAGGGAGGGAAGGGTTTGAAGAATCACTATGTTCCTAAAGTTGTATATATGAAATGCATGAAGTTTGTTTACCTTAAATAAAATATTCCTAGATAAAAATATGTAAGTAAATAATATAAATAAAAAAGAAATATTTTCCATCTGCTGGTACATTCCCTCAAATAGCTGTAATAGCTGGGGTCAGGCTAGACCAAAGCCATGGGCCAGGAACTCCATCTGGTTCTCCCACATGGGTGCCATAGATTCAAGCTTTTGCCCCATCATCAGCCACTTTCCCAGGT